TTACAAACCATATCTTTGGATTGATTTCGTTGTGCTTTTTCTCTGTCAAAATTATCAGGTACTCCAACTTCCACTTTTATTGTGAAAATGACCATTAATTTAGCTCTGCTAGAGCCCGCATCCACATGAAAGGAACTTTCAATAGGCTGCATCCATTGCTTATGTTTTCAAATCATAATATCTCCATAGTCTCTCCCTTCACAAGAATAAATAAAAGAGATGCAGCAAAGCAATAAAGGGAAAATCAAGGATAAAAGAAATAATTTGCAATCATAGTAAAGTCAAAGCATCACGCTACATCTTTGTTTTTCAGATAACCCAAAACATCTTCAAAGTTAAAGGCAGGACAAATATCCATAGCAACTAATTGCATTTGCTGCACCTGCTGGCAAGTGCCGTGGCTGTGTATGTGAATACCAAAGTAAACCCCACTGCTGCAAACAAGCACAGAGCCCGACTGGAGGGGTGTCCTTGAGCACTTCTGTGCTGCCAGGATGCTTCCATTCTGCGAACAAAGCTCAGACTTCATTATATTTTTTTTTTTTATAAATATGCTGTGCTTTCTTTCACATTATTTTTGACACCAAAAGTATTCTCCAATAATTTCCTTAAAGAAACATTGTTGTCCTTCCTCAGCCCATGATAAGTTCAAAATCTTGGCAAAGAGATGGAGAGCTGGCAGATGGAAATTTCTGCCTCTTGATCATTTGGATATACCATTTTTCCCTCCTTCTCCTTAATGCATCTCTCCCTTCCTCTCTTCTGTTTAATGTAGGTTATATGTAACTTGGGACAGGCATTACCTCATATTATTTAGTTGTGCAGTGTATAGTGCAAAGGGCTTCCAGTCCTTGACTGGAGTTTCTTCACGCTACCCCCATACTGATATTAATACATCAGTTGGGGTTTATCATTACTTTTAGCAACACCCCTCTATTATAAAGCACTGACCCAAGCAGTTTGTTTCACTGCAGATTGAATACAACTTGCTGAATCCAAACAGCACTCCTATTAGCCATTTAGCAGTGCTGTATTTAAAGTGTTGATAAAAGCAGGAATGATATTCTGCAGGTGGAGCTCCTGCTTGAGGATATTGCACAAACAGAACATACTTGCTTTGTATGCATCACATATTGTACTTAATTTGAATTTCTTTATGAAACAAGTCATTCAGTGCCAGTGGCTGATGACATTACAAACTCCCCTCTACGTGATTTAGTGTAATTTGATTACAATGGTAACGTGCTTCTGTTCCCGTTTCTCAGGTCTATATACAGAGCTCATAGATGGAGAAAGAGGACCAGGTTTGATGCATATAGAGAAGAACAATAAGCAGAAATAGAGAATTTTTTAAATGTTAATCATTCCCTTTCTGAGTCATATAAGCCTTGCCAGGGATTGCACATAGATATATGATACTATTTAAAGCACAGCACTTTGATAATCAAACAGCACCATTAGTGAACAGATCCTCCTCTTTTTAAAATCTATGACATTTGAGTTTGTCTACAATAAATTATTTGCCAAACATTAAAGAAGCATTTCAACAAAATTATAATCTGTGTGATCTGTCATGATTCTTAAGTATTTTTGAGTGATTTCCAGTCATTCCTTTCTAATAAAGAAAGCAACACTCCTTGGGCAGATGTCAAAATTAATATTTGGATATGCTCGTTTCCAGTATATTCATGGCCACCACCTCACATCACATGTGAAATGCATTTCTGTTTCCTCTTGCTCGAATCTGCCAGTCCACACTGCAAGGTATAGGTTGCCCTGCTGCAACTGGGGCAGGGAGCAGGCAGCAGGGCAGGTGGGCACAGGGTGGGCACGGCAATGGCTGTGTTTGCTCTTCAGCTCAGCACCTGCCCTGTCCTCCCCTTCAGCAAGAAAACAGAGAAATCCCTTCAGACACGTAGCACCGAGATGCCCAGGGGCAGGCAACAGAGGAAGCACGGGGCCATCAGTGTCGATCCGTGCTCCTTCCCCCCCACTCCTCACAAGAAGGTTGCACATTGTGCTCTGGGGATGAGGCTTGGGAGCGTGTCTCTGCTGGTTAATCTTCCCTTTTCCTCCCCAGTTTCCACGGAGCCATTCACAATATATTTATTGCCATTGCTATCCAGCTATTGTATTTCACCGTGTGCGTATGTCAGGGCAGAGAAAGTTCAGCAGCCGAGCAGGGGGTTAAGGTCATTGCTAGTCATGGTGGGGCTGACATTTCCTGTGGTTATATCCCTCTGCCTTTTGCAGTCATAGCCAGCCATGCTGCCATAAGCTGGAATGATTCAGGCCCCATGGCCTCTACTGTTGCAGCTTAAATTCCACTAAAAATAGTAATAATAAGAGAAACTGGTGACATTTAAGCAGAAGTCTGGGTGGAGTATCAGCAAGGTTAGAAGAGAACAAACAAAAGATTATCTGTCCTTTGAAACATCCACCTTCTTGCCAATTCAAATATTGACCGGCAGCAGAATAGGAAAATCACTGCTTGCAGTAGCACAGAAATGGCTGAGTTTGCTTCAGAGATAACTCCTACAGCAAAAAATGGTGTTTGGAGGCTTCCAACAAAGGCTGTGGACTCCAAAGGAGACAAAAGGCATGTGTGCACTGAGGAGGTGGCTATCTCTGGGATGCTGTTTCAGTGTAAAATCTGGGTGGAGATGATAGACCTCGCCCCCAGGCTGCTCTGTGACATTCAGATGTGCGCAGTGGTGATACCAGCCCCCAGCTGCTTGCTTCAGGGTGCTGTGAAATGGATTGGGAAGCTCATCTGCCTGCAAAAAGGCCTCGTGCATTTGGGGTATGGCTCCCAGGGGTCAGTTCCTGACCTGTCATGGCACAGGAGAGCCACAACAAGCATGTGCTGTAGCATGGGGCTGGAAGGGCAATCGGATGGGAGGAAAAGGCCAGGTAGGGGCAAGACCTGAAGCACCATGATGCCAATCCTTAGCACCTCACAACACCAAGTCATGGTCTTTGTATAACTGGTCTGTGGAAAGCATGCCCAGAATCATCTCATGTGGTTTCAGGCATTAAAAGTAGTGCTGATCAGGACTCCATCTGTTTGGGGTAGATTTAGTGTGATGAGTGGTGTTTTGCTTTGCCTTTTATATAACCTTTTGTTTTCATTGTGATTCTTTGGTACTTTGTGGCAGAAAAGCATCAAGATAGGGTTTTCTGCCTGAGATTTTGCATGTTCACTTTCTAATGCTAGAAGGCCTGTAGAGATCAGTACTGAGAACAATGAAAAACTAGAATCTGGTCCCTCTCCCACTAATAATTAAAGCTTTTTTTCCCATGCTGAACAAACAGATTAGGCCTTGCCACAGCCCTCAGAGGTATTATTACCACCCTTCAAGGGAGGAGGGCAGAGGAAGCCAAGGAGGGCTGTAATTTGCTTCAGGTGAGTCAGACAAAGGGACGTGAAATCAAAAAGAGAGTAGAAAGGGCCCAGTCCTGAATCATATGCACCTGTCAGAGCTGCTTCCAGTAACGTGCCCGGCCACACCAGCAGTGCTGGCACAGCCCGGCCTCCCCACATGGTTACCGGCACATCTCAGGGGGTCGGGTGAGCCTGGCTGAGGGGCTTCTGCTCCTCTGTCCCCAGTCTCTGTGCCTCGATGTGCATCTTCACGTGGCCTTTGAGATCATATTTGGGATGCTAGACATGGTTCAATGGTATTTTTGACTGAAATAAAGGGTAAAATGAGAATTTATTGAGGAGCATCCTGAAACCTACTCTCTCTATATATAGAGGTTAATTAAGGGCATCACACTAAAGGATTGCTGTGGTCCCTTCTAGCTTTAAAACTATGAACAGATAGCTTCTCTACATCAAGTTTAAGCATTTTCCTACTCTTTCCCTCCTAAAAATTACTCGTTTGCTTCTCCTTCTGAACCCTTCACCCACTTACACATGCCTCAGTTCCTGCATGGAGAATCGTGCTTCTCGCTTTGCACGGACTTCTCCCGGTCATTCCCTGGTTCCCAAAGCAGATGAAGCACAGCAGAGCAGCACCAGGCCCCCAGGCGGTGTCAAACGGCTGTGGGGACCAGGTTAAATGGAAAATCTGACTCGGGCCATCCCTGCAGGTCGCGGCTCTCAGCCATGCCATCTGCCGGCAGCCGTCCCCTCCGAGGAACGAGGTCTGCTTGCACCATCTAGTGGCTTGCTCAGACCGAGCTGAGATGCTGCAGGCAGCCCGAGTCACCGACAAGCAGAGCCTGGGTGATAAAAATACAGAGGAGGCACCTGTGGTTGCATATAACTGTACGTGGAGATAGGAAATACAAAAGGCATACCTACCTACATTAGTATAATAAAAGTTCTGAATCATAAATTCTTTTTTTTCCTCACTTTTTATTACATATCATTAAAGACATTCACACATGCATCCCCCCCCAAAAATAAAATAAAATAATAAAACAAAATAAAATAAAATAAAATAAAATAAAATAAAATAAAATAAAATAAAATAAAATAAAATAAAGCCAGAATCCATATGAAAGAAATTGGTAAGGAAGGTTCTTCCACTATAACACACACACACACACACAAAAAAAAAAAAAGTATTCCAACCTCATTTCCAAGGGAAAGCTTTGCTTTCCTGCAGAGGGGGGGTTGAGGAGTGAAAGTGATGATAGAGAAAGAGATGATTTTATTGAGTGAAGAACGGAAGGAAAAGGATATTTCTAATAAATATGTTGAAGAGAAGGAAAAGATCATTTTCCATAAGTACATTAGTGTTATTTTTCAGTGGCAAACATAATACTGAAAAATATCATCCAAACCAAGATAGCTTTTGTTTGTATTTTCTTAAGTGTTTACAGAGGTGAATCCCTCCAAGCCTTTAACTCTTCTTATTTCTTCAGGCTTCACAAGCCAAAGTCTAAGCCTTCAGCTGTACTGAGATAGGGAAAGCATGACCTGGCAGAGGCATGTGGCAGTGCCCAGCAATAAATCATTATTCAACAGGCCCTGACACCAGGAGAGCCACTGGGGCTGGGAGCAGATATGTTGGCTAAGATCCCCTGAGCTCAGCACTAAGCAGGAGTGAAACACAGGCTTTGCAAGATGAAGTATCTCTGGTGAAGGCCTGGGAGCCCAGAGCTGGCAGCCTACCCAAGCTCTGCAGGTGAGCGACCTCAGGCATGCCTCTTCACTCCTCTGGATCCCTCTTCTCCCTGTTCATAAAATAATGGCAATTTATTATCTTTGAGGGAGGCTTAGAAATATACTCATGGAGTACAAAGCATTACTCCTATGCTGTATATGAAATACACTGTTATTGCTGGGTGCTATTTTGCAGTTGATGAGTTTCTCTATTAATGTGGCAATGGGTGCTGAGGCAGCACAGAGCTGGGAGTCACCAGGAATCCTCTGCATGCACAGTTACAGAGAAAAGGGGCAATTAAAGACCGTGACTCCATAGGCCATACTGAGTCAACACTTCCGTCTTCCCTTGATGGCATTGTCTTTGAAACGCAGGAAGGCATTCCCAAGACTTTGGCAGTGCAACTAAAATAGTGGGAGGTGCATTATTCAGGGATAGGGTCACTTTTCAGGATTTTGTTTTTCCTTTGAAGACAGTGAGAGCTTTGCAAGCCATGTCAGTTACCCAGGTGTGGTGTGCTTCCATCCATGGTCTGTGGTACCAGAGCAGAGCTGACACTGGAAAAAAAATCGTTCCTCACTCATTGTTGTTAGGTGTGGACTCAGGATGGTTGCTTTTCAGTAAATATGAGCCTATTTATTTTATAAGTTAGGCACGTGACCTGCTAAACAGTCTGGGCTGTCTTCAGCTTGGACAGTAACCTCCAGCTGCTCTTTTCTCTTCACCGCTATTGCCAGGACCAACAGAGCACAACCTCTGTCCTAAGGGTTTATAAACTAGGGACTGGGAGATCCATCTCCCACAGAGATGGATAAGGATTGTGTACCCACAAGGATAGCACAATGATAAATAATTAGAAGACATCCCTATTTTCTTCAGATGAAAGACCTGCAAAGGCCTCTCCCAATTCAGCATACTCCTGCCCAATTTTGACAAATGTATCAGCGAGCAAGCCAGCCAGGCTCTGCACTGTAATATGCCTTCTCCCCTGATGATCTGTCAGTCTCTCTTGATCTCCTCTCACCAGATAACAAGCATCTGAGTGTGGCTGCTCCCCTGACTGATCTCCTTTCTGCACCTGTTCCAGCTTGGTTTCAAGGCAGCTCCTGTCTATGAACAAGCCATGCTCATGGCCTCAGGACATTGATTCTCCTACTATTAATCTCATAAATTTGGTAATGTATAATATGACCATGACAACTTCTACATAAGTGCTTGTTTTACATACATACTCTCTGGTCCAGTTTCATAAAATGTGCTTGATGATTTGCAATTTTGCAAGTGTATCACATTTCACTTTCTCCATTCTGGAGAGCGGAAATACATCTTATTCACTCTGTGTTTTCCAGATTCTTGCTCTGTTTAATTACCCTGCTTTCCCATCTTTCCAGCCAGCTGCAAGAACCTTGACCAAGAGCTATTTGGATCATTTCTGAATGCTAAATTAACAATTGCAGACTGACAGACTGATGCTTTTCCCAGTATTCAGAGGAGTGACCTAGCAGGCTTATGCAGGGATGACAACAGGTATTCATAAATACCAGCACTCAAAAAACGAATGCATTGAGAGGTCAGGCACTGACTGATCGATGGGTCAGGTCAAGTGCCCATGAGCTGGACTGCAGCTGGTGGGGTAAAGTAGCTGAGCTGAAACAGGACAGCAGGGCAGTGCACACCCCGTACTTGCCATGAAATTTCACTGCATTGCATGAGGCTCCTGCATTCACGGGTCCTATTTCACTGAGTTTCTTCCTTTTTGAAATACACCGCAGCTGCTTCGCAGATCTACTCAATCACCCGGTGACACATATTTGTAAACTAGCCATGAAGATTTTTTCTTTCTTGCCTAGCCAGCACGGGCAGGAAGTGATAAGGTCTGCTTTGGTTACAATGAGGGATGCATGCTGCAGCAGGCGTGTGGCTAGAAACCTTGGATAACGGATGGTAACTTAAGGTCCTTATCTAAGATGCTCTGAGGAACTGCCATAATAAAAATAATAAACAGCAGCAATAATAATTATTAACAGAATTCAAGGAGTCTGACTCTAATCCCATGCTGGGTTTAATAATTTAATGATTCTGCTGACTTCGACAGATCTGCTTCTGATTTAAACTGCTGAAAGTGAAATCAGAACCATGGCCCAGATCTTTTGTCTGCCTTATAATTAAGCTATTCTGAGAGGTTGTATAGCTCCTTGATGATGCTATTCAGACTAAAAACCAAGTGAAATTTTTTTGACCTAAGAAGCTTTTACTGAAGTCAACCACTTCAAATCTGGAGCAGGAGACTGGAGGTTTTTACAGGAACAGACTCCCCAATGTTTTTGTTTGTTTGTTTCTATGACACCTTTTTCCAAATAACAGAAATGCTGAGAAGAGTTCCTGACTTGATTTCATGTTTCCATCAATAAAAGCTTGCAAATGAAAAAAATACATGTATCTGATTTTTAAAACACTGGGCTTAGATTAAGCTCTAGGGTTGGGCAAAATGTTTATTTGAACATAATTCCTAAAATCTATTTTAAAATTGCCTGCAGATTGAGTTTAATGACTTCCTTAATTGCTATGTTTATGGCATTGTTAATATTTGTGCTTCTGTTTCCCTATTCTCTTTTAGTGGAGGATGAGGCTGACAGAGGAAATGCTTCTCTAAGGATGAAGCGAATGTCTGCCCCTGGACCCATGTCCCATGTCCCAGGAATGCCTGAGGAACTGAGGGCACGTTGGGACACTGATGGGAGCTGAGATGGGGAGCTCTGCCAAAATACAATGACAAAACATGGCCACAGGAAAAATAATTGCTAACCACAACAGTGCTTGATGGAGGGATAAAATACGTCTTAATGTTTTTCTATTTTTGACCAAGAAAAGCTTGGGTTTATTTCAACGAGATGTTTGCTTGTTTGAGGCATCTGTGATCACATCCTGACTGTGGATCACTGCTGGCAGGGAAGAAAAATGCCACCCCTCGATGAGTACAAGAAGAGCAAGCAACAACTGCCAGCAGTTTAGCTGGTTTGTGTATAAAAAGCTTTCCATGAGATGGCAGTTTAGGCATGAAACAGCTCTTCTAAAACCAGGATCAGAGGGATTAATGGCAACACATACTCTATTTGTCCCTTGTTTCCAAATCTTTCACTAAAGGTACTGTGAGCTTTGCCATGGATTTCCACAAGATCAGAACTCAGCTCTCTGCTGCTTAGGTAGCATTTAGAAGTAGCTTTTCTATAAAGTAAAAACATGTCTACATACCAGTCCTTAATCTCTTTAAGCACAAAGTTTATTTGTTTCATCAGCAAAGCAAATTGCTGTAAAAACCACTTAGCAGCATGAACTCTGTTGCACAGCAGATTGAAAAGCAGTGCTGCCAGTGGCCAAACCACTGCACAAACACACACTTTTTCTTTACAGACCCAGACAGCAAATCTAACTTCTTAGTGCAGCAAATCATGTCTTGTTCTTAAACTCTGAGGGAAGTTCATAAACCCTCTTTTTTTTTTTTTTTTGTTTGTTTGTTTGTTTTGAATGTATTTTTTTATTTTTATTTTTATTTTTATTTTTATTTTTATTTTTATTCTTCCAAGTAAGTACAAAGCTATCTCAAGACTATTTAAAGTGTTTGAGAAACATCTTTTAACTATAATGCCATGTATTAATTTGTAGATTATAGCAGCTCTTCTCCTGGGAAAGACTGAAGAATATGGTCTCAAACCTGGAGAAAGACGGTGCCATTTCACCAGCAGAATGCCACAACATGTCACCATGTCTGTGTAAGAAGCTGGAGCTACAGAAACAGCACAGGGGGGTCACAAGGAGCTTTATTCTTTCAGGTCCTTCTGTCCTTACTCAGGTGAAGGACTCATCCCAGGGAGATATTAAAGATAAAATTGCTAAAACCTTTTTAAAAGCCCTCTTTTGTCCATCAGCATTAAGCAATTGAGCCCAAAGTCTTCCTACACATCCAGGCTTGCTTTGAAAACATTTTGCGAAAATGCTGCTATGACATTTGCCCAACAAAAAAATTCAAAACACGTATTTACCTCAACATTCGTTTAAATGTCAGCAGAAGTTTTCATGCAGGCATCAGCCAGTCTCGTTCTCCAGGAAACTGAGCAGCCCTGTGCTTTTGGCTGGCGAGTCCATTTGGAAAGCTATCCATTAAACATCAGTGAGGACTATTCAGTGCTCTCCTGTGACTGCAGACTAGCAGATGAGAGAATGACAGCCTAAAAACAAGTGTAATGTCAGGCTGGTGGGCAGGATGCCTCCCCCTGAATGCATGCTGAAAGCCCCAAACTCCTAAATTCTTTTACTGACAACAGCTTTTATTCCTTGCCACAAGAAAAGTATAAGTGGCAAAATTGTGGAACACGAGTGCCCTATACCTACAGTCAGAGACCCAGCCCCCAAACCTTGCCTGCTTCTCAAACTTTTTGTCACATGTGACAAATAAAAAAACAGCAAACAGGCAGATTTCCCCTCCCAGGCACTAATCAGAGAGCACGATGACAGTCTGCATCGTAGGACAGGTCAAACAACTCCCTTCCAGCACAGCAGTGCTTTTTTTTTATATATATATGGCAATTCTGTATGCTGATTTGTGGTATCTTCCCTTTATGTTTTCCTGTTCACACAGGACCTGTGGAAGCAGATAACGTAATGAGTCAGTGTTGTTAGACAACATCGTTACCCTGATTTCTCACCACTAGATGCTTAACACGGCAATTTATTTTTCACTGTCGAACATCTCTACTCTTTCCGTTTCACTGTCAAACCTCTCTGCTCTTTCCTTCTTGCTTTGTTTCTCCTTGTTTGCTTGCTGATTTCCTTCCATTTCCTCTGGACTTTGATACAACCTGAAAATGTGTAGACATAAAGTTTTGTGCCTCATACACAAGCCTGAAACAGACTGAACTAACCTCAAAAGAACTAGATTTTATCTTCTGAGAGACCGAATTTTTAACAAAAAAAAAAAAAAAGGCTCAAGTTCACATGCCAAGCTGTGAGTGCACATGCCAACTAACATTTGTCCAAGCACTTCCCAAAACTCCCTAACAAGTACCACGTGCAGGCAGCCAGCTATTGGCACGCACACGTAATGCACTCACGGACTTCATTGTCCATGAAGCTTTGCACTTAGACCTTGGGCCCCTATCCCAAAAATATTGGCCTGATATATGAGAGGGCTGTTGTCTCTGAGCAGCTATTACTTGCCATGAGTGATGGAGCAAATTCCTAGTATTTCTGTCACCATCTGTGCTGATGCACTTTAACAAATGTAATTGAAATTTATCTGGTGCAACTTGATCCCCCTTGCTCTGTGTGTAACGCAGGATATCACTCGGGATGGCTTGAGAAACAGGTTTCTTACCATGTATGTGTGTGACAGGTAAGGAAGAAAGGGAAGGATAGCCTAATTAAATACTTAATTTAGGTGCTTTTTATAAATAATAATAATAATAATAGTAATAACATAATAAAAATAATAATAAGAAAATACAAGAAGATATAAGAAAATGTAAGAAATAAAAGATAAGAAAATATAATAAGAAAAAATAAGAAAAAAATAAAAAATACTCAGTTTGTGAAAACCCAGGAAAAGAATGAGACCCATCACTCTGGACTCAGAGAACACTCATATTGCATGCAACAGCCACACATGCTATGTTTGATGCACCCTGGGGTCTGGAAATGAGGATCACAAGGTATGCTGGGAACCTGGAAGCAAAGGGGACTGCAGGGACTCCTCTCAGCTGGAGTCTCAGCCTTTGCCTCTGCTGAGGCTGCCGTCACGCATGCTATTAGCGTTCATTATATGAGAGTGTTTGTGTGATGTGGGTGCATCTCCACCTGGAACGAGTTGAAAAAGCATAAAGGCCATCAAAGTGCTATCAGATGTTATTAACGTTTAGCCCACTAAAATCTGGACCACATCTGAACTACTGGCTCACAGATGACAAGTCCTCCATCCCATGAAGAATTTCCTGAGTCCTCAGGCATATTGCTCATGTGAGAGATGCTTCTGAATGGCTTACTGTTCTTTAAATGAACAAGCAAAAAAAAGAAGGGGAATATTTCTGGTGGTTTCATTGATAGCTTTTTGATTCAGTCCCTGCATCTTCCTTCTGCTGCTGTTTTCTCTCTCAAGAGGCTTCCTTGCACGAAATCCTCTCCTCCCTGTGGCTGTGGGTGATGAGACTTGTCCTCCAAATACTGTGCCAACCATGCTGATCTTCAAAAAGATCTTGGACCATGCACAAATGTTCCTCAGGCCACCACTGTATTTTCAGTACTTCTCAGGCACCTTTTCATCATACTCATGGCTATACAGAAAATGGCTCCTTCTACCTTTGCTGTCATTTTCTCCCTCCAACTCTTCTGCCCAAAAGTTTTCTGCTTCTTCCACTCATTCCTACATCCCTCCCTCTATAATCCCCACACCAGGAATGCCCTCCTTTTCTCTCCTAAGTGCTCGTGACAGCTGCCATCTTGGCCCAATCAGGAGTGATTGATCCAGCATCCTTCAGCACCAAGTGCATTTGATCTGTGAAGCTCTCCAGCTGGGCTTGTAATAACTTATATCCTTTGTGGGTTATACATCAAGCAACTCTTTCCCCATCAGTCACGTCTTCCCTGATAGAAAAGTCCTTCCATGAAGCCCTTCACTACTAATCCACCATCTCATGTGGCACGTGGTGGAAAAACTTATTATGAAAAGCAGTATTTTGTATTGCTTTGATGCAAGCCAAGCTGATTTCCATGTTCAAAAAAATAACTTATTGGGAAAAAGACTGAATTCTTGCGGAATTCAGACCATGATAAGAGCAGTCAACTCATAAATATTTATGCCTGAGGCTCACTAAATGAGCCACTGCTCACTACTTTGTCTCATTTTCATTAACTCTGTTGCTTTATTTACTGAGCTAGATTCAGAGCTAAACAGACTGATCTGGTGCTATCAATGTCAGCACAATGCTGCTGCATACTCTGACATCTGGGAATCTGCTTTCTGACTCTGATAGAAAGAAAATTAGGGACAGATATTCCTGGTTGTGTGGGAGCAATGTTTCGTTGCACCTGCAAAGACAACATCAATACCTTTTAATGCCTGACTTTTGGGTGTGTGTTCAGCTCTCCACCCTTCTTTAGGTCCCTGACATAGGACAAATGACCATGTTATGTTTGCTGCAGGTTGGTTGTCTTGGGTTGCCTAAATCACATTTTTCTTGTGACATGCTTTGCATAAACAGAGGGCGTTTGTTCAGAAACTCTTGGGAACTGATTTGTCTACCTCACGCACCTATGTGAAACTCCAGAAAATATACTTACTGAATATGTTGTGGGGTAAATAACAATCCACTTCAATGCACTGCAGGCACTGAAATTAGGTCAGAACACAACCAAGAAGCTCACTATCTATCTCAGAGATACCAGGTCACAGAGGAAGAACAGAAGGACAGAAAAGGCTGTAGAGATATTTCTTCAGACTGCCAGTTTGGGTCTCAGATATTATTGAACTAGAAGTGTTTTCTTTGTATTTAACTGTTTTTCAAGTTATTCTTTCATGAATTTACTCCATCTCCCATTGATCTAATGAGAAGATTTAATTGCCACATCCTCTCATGACAAGTAATATCTATGGCTTAATTATATGTTGTGTGAAGTGCCATTTACTTCTCTTTTTGTTTCTTTTCTTAAACTTGCCACGTGCTAGGTTCATTTGGCAACCCTAGATCTCATAATGAAAGATGTATAATAATCTTTCAGTCATTCCCTATTTCCCTCCTCCATGCCTTCTTTGTTCGGAGTGTTGCACACTTCTCTTGTGCTTCCTCACCTCTTTCCAGACTAGAGAGCTACGCTAAAACTCTCATAAGGAAGTTGTCCCACATCTTTGTTCATCCCTTTCCCTGGCCTATGGACTTTTTCTAGTTTTCCTATACCTTTTGGGAGGTGAAGGACCAGAGCTGCACATTGTATTTGAGAGGCAGGAGCATCATGATCTTACAGAGGGCCGTGGTGATGTGATTTGTTCTCTCTACTTCTATAAAATAGTCTCTTATCCCCCACAAGTGACATGTTCTGTGTTAAGTAAAGCAGTTTACTGCCATCCCTTGGCCATAATGAGAATGATTTTATTCATGACCCTTTTTGCAAGTCCAGCCAAACTTCCGTAAGTCCTTAAAGTAAATGTGATGGTATGAAGGTATGGCATCTATGAGAAATCTTTAGGGGCCAGATTCTGGATTAATTCTTTGGCATGAAAGAGATCTCGCTGATATGGGAGAGACTAGTCCTTTGACACAAAGACCAGTTCTTACTGATGCTGGCAGTGTTAGGCGTATCACAAGGAAAAACCCCGGGGAGCAGGAAGTGCAGTCCTCTGATCCAAAGCCTATTAAATAATATGAAACTTCTCATTGATTTCTGAGAACTTTGGCGCAGGTCCAAAGTCCTACGCTGATTTTAATCCAAAGACATAAAATGAGGTAATATGAGTGTAGTCTGAACGGAAGGACTTTGTACACGATGTCAAAGTCAGGGCAAACATTAAAAAAGTTAACCAGGGTTTTTTCCAACTGCTATCTTCTTTATTGTTGTCCTTATAATGTACTTTTCTACATAGTCTCATTCATTATATATATTGCATATCACCAGTTCTTAATCACAGCTAATTAGTGACAACAAGGACAATACATGTTACTGTTCACAGTGACTGTAACAGAGTTAGGATGTCATGTAAATATTCTGAACATCTCATCTTCGAATGGCAAACTTGCTATGGAAAACAATGTACATTCTCTCACAATCAAGCATGCTGTAATATCTAACGATGTCATTCACATTCTGTGTGCATGCATATAATTTACATGCTAAGAGGCAGTTAGTTAAAGTCAGTGGTTTCTTTTATAGACTGTCTATATTTTTTTGACATTAAAAATGATGGTTGATAGCTTGATTCAAATTATGAATGATATAAGCAAAATCTTGAAAAAAATTATTCCCAGAGTTCTGTGCTTCATTACAGAATCCTTACCACATCCCAGATAAATAGGTAGACTTCTCTTTCTATGAGTGGGTGAAGGGACCCGCAGAAGCAACCATGACTGACCAGCAGCTGGGTTCACACTTCTTCTCCCCAGCTCTTTCTGATGATGAATCCTGTTACCACAGCATGTGCTCGCAGTTCAGCACTGACAGCCATGACCCAGCTGCCCCTGGCTGCAGGCAGGGTGCCAGGACGAGACAGGGATCTGGGCTCTGCATGGAGAAGTGCTAAAAAAAAATCCCCAGTTGGCTTGTTGTGGGAGAGAAGACAGGAAGCCTGCTGAAAGTCAGAGCTTTGCAAAAGGTGCTGGGGAGCACTGGCAGGGAGAGCTTTCTGCTCTTTCATCATGCATTATCTGCTTTTATTATTTAGGAGATGGGACCCTTGTGGGAAAGTACTCCCTGGAGATGCCTACACCAAGTGTCTCCTGAGGCACCCAACCAGTTTACAGCAGATTAACACGGGAAATCAGAAGAAAATGTGCCTCCTGCAAGCCCAAGGCAGGGAGCAGAAACGCGCAGGAACAGTTTCATCATATTGCAGTGGCAAATGCATGAGTGAGGGAGAAATGACTATGCCTATTTTGGATATAACTTCTTTGGATATACCTTCTTTGATGGCATCTTTTTCTCTCCACAAAATGAAATCACCTTTTTGTATAAGACAATTAAGCGGTCCTGGCCCAGCTTAAAAGCAATGAAGACAATTTCCATTCCGATAATAATATAGAGGGAGAAAAACAAGAAAAACTTGGGATGTTCCAGTTGTGTATCTCCAAACCCAATAGTTGTCAAGGTGATAAAGCAGAAATAAAAGGCTTCCTGAAAATCCAAACTGGTTTCCCAGTTTGGAAGAATGGCAGCTGCACAGGAGATGTACACAAAGATAACCAGCACCATTAACACTATGGGCACATCTAATTTTTCTAACTCTTTTCCTATTTTGTCAAAATTCTCAATTACTCTGGACATTGTTTTTCCCCTGTCTAGTTCAGGACATGAGCTCCATCTCTCTATGCTTTTACTTCTTGATGGCTTTTTGTATTCATTTTCTCTGGCAATTAACAGCTCAAAAATTTCGGCATTGCGATATTGGACTGGCTTTCTTTTAACAGCTGACTGGTTTTTCAGCATTTCCACAATATTCAAGGGTTCATTTGCAGATGCTTTAGACAGCACTCTATCCCCTCTGTTACATGTGGATCCAGAACAGAGTTTAAAGGCTAGAAGTTTTGACTGTAGCTTTCTGAATTCATTGTAAGACTTGGACAAGACAGTCGCAAGGATGTCTCCCATGTCTGTCAGGACCAAGAACATCAAAGGGATGCCAAATAAAGCATACAACATGCAGAGATATTTTCCAGTCCTTGTTACAGGATAGGTATTGCCGTAGCCTTGAACAAAGAGACAAAGAGAGAGAGAGAGAGAAGGGAGAAAGGGAGAGAGAGAGAACATTATTTATTACACCTGTACTGGACTTTTTACTGACACCAATTTTACCGAGCTGTTTTTTAGTCCAGAGCATACTGTCCTTTTGGGCTTTGCTTGGAAGCTGTTCAAATTTCTGCCTGGTTAGTGATGCAGGCACCTGCCCTCTCCAGGCATGTGGAGGTTTGGAATTTGCAAGTCCTGTTGACTTAACTCTTCCAACCACACTTGAGTGGGCTCTTTGACTTACCTGACTCTTAACAAGAGGCCATTTAGGGAGAAGAAGCAAGAATTTGGAGCAAGTCCATGACCAGGGTCCAGTCCATGCCCTGCTGGAGACCAGGAAGACTTCCTTACCTGGAAAGGTAGGAAAGGTCCAGAGGGGAGGACAGCAGGAGAGGTCCTGCTTTTCTTTGCCCAAACTGCTTATCATGAACGGTAAGCCAGTAGTGTAATTTGAAATTGTTCCTAGTTCATCAGATCTAGCTCTAATGGCATGCCTTGTATTGACATTTTATTTGTACTGGCTTCATAGTTCTCAGAGGCTCTTACATGTACACAGAAAAACAAAGGATCAAGTGAGGAAACATCTGTTTATCACATGAGGAAATACATGCTTATCCCAGAGTACTAAAGCTTACAAATATCAATTACAACACATAGGAAAGTGCTACCAACCACACGGCCTTTGTGATCCATAAAATGGTAGAAGAAGATATGCCCTCTCCCTAAATTCAACTTGGGCATTTAATTTCTCTTCCCCTAACAGTTGGATGTGAATGTCAGTTTGTAAATTAGTGCTTTTCCCTTACAGTGGGAGAAAACATCTGCATTACATTGATTTTATTAGTTTAACAACCATTTTTCTTCTCATCCTCCAGAAAGACATACAGCATTTCTTCTCCCCCTTCAAGCACGTTGTTCTTTTATAGGTGACCTCCCAGGTCAGGTACTCAGCCTGCAAGGTTATCAGCTGGGAAGCTGAAGTGTGGTTTTCTTCCTATCCTCCAACCATTCACTAGTGGTGTGAATCCAGCCTTGGCCCCTGCTTTGCTGTTGGGCACTGACAGACTATTCTCTGTCACTCTGTTCCCCACTGTTTTATTGGGAATGCTAACACTGCTGAAATGACTGGGGAAGATTAATTCTAGTAGTTATTGCACTGAGTGACTTCTCAATTCTCATACATTAGAAATACCTCATGCAGTTCTGACCACCGATCTCTAGCCTGGATGCTCACTTCTGCTAGATAATTAAAGGGAGCCAGGTGGACTCTCACCTGAAGTGATTTACCAATTCCTAATACTGCAGATAACAAACCCACCACAATAGAAACAGCCATCTCTTAACAAGAAATAATCCAGGCTTCCCACCGGTCCCAAAACTCAGCTCAAAACCTGAAGATGCTGTGTTGATGTTCACTGCTATGAAGACCAAATATAATGTAGTTTAGAAATTTTAGAAATAAATGGATCGTTTGGGTCAGTGTGTATGGAAACATCTCTACAGTCCCATGTAAATGGAGGTGGGTAAGTATTTCTAGGCAAGAAGTCTTCAACAATATGGTTTTCCACCTGTTTCTTGAAGTCAAAGCTTTCTGGTAAGAGGTACTTCGAAATGTTCCTGGCTGTTGTGTTTGTACTAAGAAATATTTACTGGGAGGAAGATTCAAGCCTGTATCTCCAGCATGTGTCTGAACTCTTAAGCTATTCAAATATGCCTGTGGAATAAAAAATGTGTCATTATCTCCCCGAGACAGAAGCACTCCAGCGTGTAGCACTGAGTGAAGCACACTCTATGAGAGCCAGCTGTACTGCAGTACACTGCTTGAAGGCAGCCACCAAAGTCGTCAAACACCGAGGTTCAAGCCTCTGCAGTGACTGAGCCAGCAAGCCCTATGTGCTCCAGTGAAGCTCATTAACTCTCTCCTTATTCCTTGTGTAGAATAATCAGGTTTTATTTTGCATTAAGATTTTATTTTGCATACCTGTGCTGGGATCTTGAATATGTCTTAATGCAGTGGAGAAATGTCTTTACAATTTGATACAATGCTGTGGGACTATTTATCATCCAGCCTTAATACTGACAAAATATTTAGACAATGTCTGTATTCACCAGCAGTTTAAGAAAGATTAGCAAAAGGACAAGAGTAACTTTGGAAATGAGCATGAGGAGTTGTATTTAGCAATACAGTGCAAGCCAAAACCGTAACAGATGTTTGTGTTTGATCTAGGTCATGCTTTGAAATATGAAGGCAGAAGGAAAAATTTCAGAGGTGTGATTTAAGCAGCGCTGTGTGCTGTTAGCCCAGAGAACTGTGAACAACAACAACACGGTCAATTATAGATCCAGAGGTTTACAAAGCAGCGTTAGACATAAACAACAGGGAAGCAATTTAAAAACAATATACGCATAATGAATTGCCTCTTTCAGTAAAGAAAACATTACCCAGCATAGCACATAATAGCGGCAGGAATAAGGTTTGATTGAAAAATTGAGCTTTCTTTCATTTCAATATAATAGTTCTGTGCATATGTCATATATGAGCATGTGCTACAGTATGCATGCAATGCTGCTGCTAATCAGCACATACCATCGTTACTGCCTAAATTCTGACTTGTCCCTGGGGCTCAGCTACACCTCTGCCACACATGTTTGCAGCACCCCTTGCAGACCCATTATCAACACTCAGGAGAAAAATTCAGGAAGATTTGGAGGTTCTTTTTCTTTATTATTATTATTATTTTTTTTAATCTAATTCCCTGGAAGAAATACATTAGAGAAATCAGTGTGGCATTTGGTTCTGTAGGTGTTACTTTACCTCCAGACTTACCCACAGTGGTGAATACTGTGCAGCAGAAGAAGAGAGACCCAAAGAAATTCCATATATCTTTTGGATTGACAAACCAGTCTCGTTTAGCTGTGTTGAGCAGTGCGTGGATTTCTTTTTTAAATGACTCCTCATTTTCCGTCATGTTATCTGTTACAGTAACAGCAGAAGATGCACTGAGAGTTTGCAGACCCCCAGTCAGGGACCAGCCTAAGTTTATTATCCCAGGGAATTTTACTCCAGCTAAGCATTTTCTCCTAGTCCTTTAGAAAATAAAAAGATTCACCTCACACACCCCATTGAAAAAATCAAGTGTGTCCACTGGCTCGTTGTGCTAGCACAGCTTCCCAAGCAAAAGTCCAAGCCCACGTATGAACCCCATCACAGATCCAGGAGGGTTTCAAGCCCATCTCCTCCACTCTATCCCTCCACCAGCACAAGTGGGTCTGGGGAACAGCACCACACCTGCCTGCATTGAGCATCCCATCGCCAGAGGGATGCCCAGGCAGGGATGCTTGGAGCTGGGACAAGGGAGCAGGGAGAGACTTTCTGAGACAGAGAACCCAGCCCCCCAGCAGGCAGAGGGAAACAGCACGGAAATCTCAGCTGCTCCGGGACCTTAGGGAACTAGGGTGAAAAGGGACAACACAAGCACATCACAAAAAGTCTTTTAAGCATTTACAGGCAGGGGCTGAGGGACCAAGGAAGCTTACAGTCAAAATCACAGTTAAGGAAGAGAAGAGAAGCAGGCAACAGCAGTCATCAGCTAAGCACAGAGGAAATCCCATTTTCAGGCTCAGCCGTTATTACTTTGAAGAATGTCTTCAGAAGCCAAAAATCTCATTCAGAAAGCAAAGGAGTAACTCTGTGTACAATTAAGTTATTTTGCTATTCTGGTACATACCTGTTAAATTTCTGGAGATGTACCACAGTTTCTGCAGAAAATTTCTATATTCTTCACTTAAATTTACCTTCCGGTTACCTTCAATGTGGGAAAACATGAGAGCCCCAAGAAAAGCATAGATCACGAGAGACAGAATGAAGCAGGCATGTGGAAATACTGCCCAAAATATTTTTTTGCATGCCCTTTTACCTCGCAGAGGCTGTGATGTTGATGCCATCCTAAGCTCTTTTTTTTTTTTTTTTTTTTTTTTTTTTTTAGCTTTTAGAGACAAGGAGGATGATGTGAAAGCTTTTGCATCCTAGAAAAGCTTCTCCCGTGAAAACAGGGATTGTTCTGCCTCAGGCTTTCAGATCACATGTCTTATAAGTGAAGATTGCACTACAGTCCCAATGGAAAAGGAGCACAACTCATCAAGCCTTGAAATATTTCTCAGTTGACAATATACCCCTGTATCCCTGAACCACTACTGCCCAGACACTGCTACAATGCATGTGGATCACCAGCTCCCATGGGTCTCTTGTAGGGCCAACTCATTTTTAAGGTTTCCTTTTCTGAACTACAGTTTCTCACAGGTACAGAAGACACGTATTTCCAGCTCCTCAGAGGAAAAATGCACACTGTGAGTGACAGATTTCTATAAAGATTTCTCCCAGAAGTGAATATGGAAATTTAAAATTAATCTAAAAAAGAGAGTGGGTGCTGATTGCTGTTGCCTCTGGGCAGAGCATAGAACAATTACATTATCTGTCAGATGGCTTAAGAACCTCTTCTTATACCATGTAAGATTTGCAGGGGGAGTCTTCTGAATTTTAAGGATTTTTCTCAAAAAAAAAAGAAAAAAAAAAAAAAAAAAGAGGAGAAAAGAAAAAAGAGAGCTAAGAAAGTTTTTGGTCAGTTCTCATGCAATTAAAATCTTCCCATTAATTCAATTTCCCACTCACCTTGGTAAGTAAGAACTGACATTCAGTTCAGGGTTAAGTGATCCTTTCAAACTGTATCCAACATTAAAAATAGTTTTTTTCCTTTCATCCATCACTCTAAAACACTTAGAGCAATGAACAGCATCACTGCCCTTGATAATGCTAATAGAGGTAGTAAGGGGAGTTGGACTTTACTGAAAAAGCTGTTAAATATTTAATTAAAAATGGAGACAGCCTTGCCCAGCCAAGACCTAGTGAGATATTTGCAAGCTAAACTTCCACACTATGAAGAAATACTACATGGTTGTCGTGATTTCTTCTGGGTCAAACTCTCAGCAAATTGGATCACAAGATATCACATGCTTGTTAGTATGGCAGCCTCCACTACAGAAAAGAGGCTTTCAGGGCTAAGACAAAAATAAGCCTCTGTGCTTGCTACTTTTCTGTTTTTCTGATTATTTGACCCAGTAGCGCTTTTTTTTTTTACAACACCTTCATAAATCCTCTTATTGCAATTTTTTTTTCACTGTCCTGAAACACAGGGTTGAAAACTGTTAACGTTGATACTTAATGAAAAGCAACAGGACTTTCTGGGAGGCTGGACTTCAAGACAGTGTGCTCAGATTTGGTGCCATGGCCAGGGGAACAAGGGACACAGAGCAGTCAGTGGGGCGGGTGACAGAGCGAGGTGGTGGTGGGCAGGGTACCCCATGCTGGAAGGACAAGGCTGGCTTCTCTGGTAAAGTTTTATACACAGTGGGCAACAGTGATGTACAAGTTGGCAGAGGTTACTTGGATTTCTACAGATGTTTTGACAAAGTCCCTTGGTCTCAGAAAGGGCTTCTTAAAACTGGAGAAATTTCAAACAGCGATGAGCACGATTGAAAGTATGGACAGGTTTTATGAGGAATGACCAAGCGGTGTCTTTGACCCTTGAGTAAAACCAAACCAAACAAACAAAAAAAACAAAGAAAAGAACACAAACAAACAAACAAAAAAACAACTGAGGGATATGTAGCAGCAGTCTTCAAACTTGTGGGTGGTCTGGAGAGAGCGGGTAAGGGATTAGCTCTTTTAGGACCAGAATTAGGGACCATCAAATAAAGCAAGTAGAAACACGGTTCAAAACAAATAAAAATGGATGATTTTCACCTAGCTGGAAAACTCCAAAGGATTTTGGGTTTATTTACATTAAAGAAGAGGGTGGAGAGAAATTTAGAAGTACAGTCATCCAATGTTACTAAAGAGGCAAACCAAACTGGGTTCAGCAACCCCCTGAATTAAAAATAATTGGGAGCTGGGAATGTGAACTGGGACACTGGGCTGAATGGGCCCTATGTCTGAGGCAGTATACTCACATTTGTGTCTCCTTATAAAAAAGGCTCTCACTGCCCAGAATGGTAATTCTGACACAATTTGTCCTGTGGAGTTTTTTCATCTGCATCTCAAACATAAGCCTCTTTCCTCCAAAGTGCTTTAAAAACTTCTTGGCCTCCTCCTATACATGGTAGGATTGCAAAGTACTGAGCAATTCCCAGGAGCTTCTCAGCCATTTGCAACATCAGAATCCAAGCTTGTCACAACAAGAAAATTTAATAAAAATACATTTTGAAATGATTCTTACATTATTTGCTTAATCTGAAACCATTTCCCACTATTGCTGTATTACATATTAGAACTCAGTTGCTTAAAAGCAAATCCCACTAACCACAAGTTATTCCAAATTGAGTTACTGTTACTTGTATTGAGAGATTTTTGCAATATGCATTTCCTATTCTTGTTAATGGACAGCAAACCTGCACTTTTCCTAACTTCCATTACTTTGATTAGGGCAAATGTGGGTGTTCTGAAGGTGCTGCTTGAAAGGAAAGTTTGTGACCACAGCTGTAAGGTTTAATTATTCCTGTACAAACACACACACTTTATAATTCATACTGTATCTGATTTTCTTGGATTACAGAGGTTAAACGAGGAAGGTCATTGTGCAGTGAGAAGGTTTTCAGTAATTGATAAAGCTCATCGGGCATCGAGACACCTAGCACGTTGTCACAGACCTGCTGTGTTTATTTCTGCTCTATGAAAGGCTGTTGGACCCCGTGTACTGCTGTCTGATACTCAGCAGTATGACACCTTCCTCTTCTTTTTAGAACAAAGCCAAAGATCTGAAAGGGAAGGATTAAATAAGTAGCCTTATTAAAAATAAATAATTAAATAAAAGGCATCAGACTAAACTTTTTTTTTTTTTTTTTTTTTTTTTTTTTTTTTTACGGAGGATTTTATTTATTGCTGCTCACATACACACCACAGAAAATATTTCCAGAATGCCCTGGATACTCAGTTCCCTGAGCAAACAGGAGTGTTTCTGTATAACAGTGGCATCAGCCCCCAGCAACAAACAAACCACAGGTAGCAGCAGTAGTAGTATCAGGAACACAAGCCCAAGTCCGGGTTCTGGATTAGCATTTTATAAAATACAATATTTGCTCCCTGGAAGAAGGTCACCCCACCCAGTGAGGAAGGCTGAGGGATGTCAGTGGGCTTTTGGATGTGGTATCTGGGGGCTTTGCCACCTTCCATAGACCCCTCTCCTTCCCACCCACCCTCAAGACCTGTCCCTGGGGCAGCCCACAAATGGCACTGCCTGCACAACCTGCCAGAAGAGTGGCACGTGCTTTCCAGGCACCCTGAGCTTCTTTTTCTCCTACCTACCCCAATAATATTCCTCTGGAGGATGATTTCCCCTGTTCTCTCCTGGCATCTCCTGCTCTTCTTGATGTCCCCTTGCACCTCGGATGGCTGGGGATGGATGGAGAAATGCACTAATTGGCTGTGGAGTGTCTCTTGGATTCCCCGGGGGAAGGTTTAGCTTGCTTTGTATCCACCTGTAAAAGTCTCAGCTATTGCTTGAGTCAAGTGCTTGAGCTTGTAACCTCTGGGAATATTTGAGAGCACTCAGGACTAGCATCCTGACACTGCATATAATGCTAAGTGGATTCAAAGATGGCCAGGATTCTCACCCTGAACTGGAGAACTTCCTATTGCATTCTTTGCTCACACGAAAGCCAAGCAAACAGTCTCCATCATTTCATCTATGAGAGACAAACCCTCTTCACATCACCCCCATGCTCCAGGAGCAGCCCAGACTCAAGTACTTGTCCCCAGTCCTTCTCTTTTTTTTTTCTTTTTTTTTTTTGCATAGATGGAAGTGTCATGGCCAGAAAACACCTCAGTCCTCTCACTTCTTCACCTGGCAACTCAGGAGCAGGACCAGCCACCCAATTCATTCTTCACCCCTTCTCCCCATGCTGGTGGACTGGGTAGAAGGGCCACCCTCTCCTTCATCCTACCCCTACTATCAGTACCATGTGCCAAAGGGGACTGAGAGGTGCTCAGGAGCAAGTGGGAAAATTACTCCTGGACAGACAAGACCCCATCAGCCCCCAACCTTCCTTCCCAGTCTCCAGCCCCTTTCTCAAGTGGATGAGTAGAACTGAGCCCTGAAAGACGCAGTGCAGCAATTCTTAATTAGCGCAGGGAAGGCTTTGCAAACCAAGAAACCTCCCAGCGACGTGTACGCTGCTCATTTATCTGCGTGACTCTCTTGGATGATGCGATAACACTTCGTGGTGTTACAGCATGCAGAAAGGTTAATATCACCGTGAGTCACCGGGGTAAGACCTCACCGCAAGTGAGAGGCGGCGCAGGAGCCCTGGGCTTGCAGATAAGCAGAGGGGATTACCGAGGTTCAGCTACATGTCTTATGCCAAAGTCTTTACTGAGTTAATGTAGTGAACGTAATGCCGGTATAGTGGAGGCTATCTCAGCCCAGTAGTTTCATTTTAAGGCAAACAAGCTCCCTGTGGAGAGATCGGAAAACTGCTTCTTTGGAATTTAATTAACATTAGAGCATGTGAGATTATATGCTGCATAAAAGCTAAGCATCATGATTCATGTCAACAGAGCAATTTTACACCATTTGAACTGAAAAAAAAAACACAACCCCACAACTTAGAGTCAAGACAACTAGTCTACTCTGCTCCTTAAATAAAAAGAGATTTATTCTGTATTATTATTAATGTGGCACCATACGTATATAAGCAGTTTAACAGAGGGGATTGTAAAACCTCAAATACAAGAACAAGCTTTTAGCTGTAAATATCCACCAGCATGCATCCCACATCGTCTCCGTGAGTGGCAGAGACCCTCTCAATTCTCAGCATGCAGAGTGCTAATGTAAAACCATCTACTGAACTTCTTTCTAATGTCAGAAGCACATTCATTTAAACCCAGCACAGAT